AAATACAAAAATGCCAGCTGAAAGCATACAGCAGATAAAATTCGTACTCAACATATCAACTAAAATACCAAATTCGACATTTTCTAGAAGCAAATGCTTGCATTTAAAGTTCACACTTTACATACATATGTATGTAAATATAAGTACTTATGTATGTATGTATGTATGTATGTATGTATGCATGACATAACACTAGCGGAAGATGAACTTTATTTTCTGCATGCTGATGAATTTCAACAAAAATTCCATTTCACACCAAAACGTCTGTGTGGCTCATATCTTGTTTATGCTCGCATTGTAAAGGCGTTGAGGAAATAAAATGCATTTGAAGATATTCCAAGCGCGTGCAAATGTGTGCGGGTGCATGGGTGTGTGTGTGTGTGTGTGTCGGTGCGAATGCGTGAATGTTTTAAGGCAGCAGTAGTAGATTTGCAGTAAATATACGAATGTTGTTAAAAATCTATTTCTTTTCGCACAACAGACATTATCTGTGTGCATTAGACTGCATCACTCCCCATAAAAAAATAAAAAATAAAAAAATAACAAAAAAATAAAAATGAAAATCGGTACTGTTTGTTAATTGGAATTATAAAATCTATTATATTTTAAGACTTGCACCAAAATATTTCGTAAAAATATTAAGATTTATGTGAGCTGGACCGATTTGAAAATACCTCAAAAAATTGAGTTTTTTATGAATAAAAATACTGTTTTGAAATAAAATCCCCTTAGAGACAAATCAGCATACGATTAAAATATCTGCATGAAAATATAAAAAGAAAATTCAACGGAATTGTAATAATGAGATTTTTTCTGCTGTTTTCTTAAAATTTTTTCAAAGATTGGTATAAGAAAAACTTCAATAACTGGACCAAAACTATACCGACTTGAATTTATGAGGTATCATTGGAAAAGTGTTTTCTCACTCTTTTTATTTCTTTGCAAATAAACGCAATGTATGAATGAACGAGCGTTATTCTAAGTTGAATTAAGATGTGCTGGTATTAAAAAAAGGGACTTGTATGAGTTTTTTTTTTTAAGTGTAAAAATACCTTTCTACTGATATCTCGTAAGTCTAAATCGGAATAGTTTTGGCAAAGCTATTCAAATTTTTCTTAAACCAACCTTTGAAAAAAATTAAAAAAACAGCATCTAAAATCTCATTACGATTCCATTGAAAAAACCTTTTTAATAGTTTTATTCAGATTGTTCAAGCTTAAACTGGTTTGTCAACTGAGGGGACTTTTTTCAAAAAGTTCTTTAAGAAACTATTTCTATTCATAAAGAACTCCATTTTTGGAGATATTTTCAAATCGGTCCAGCTCACGAAAATCTTAATATTTTTCCAAAATATTTTGGTGGACGTTTTCAAATATATTTAATTTTCCATTCTCGGTGGAAAAACCGCAAATTTTTTTTGGTGATGCAGTCTAATGCGCATGTGTACATATGTATGAATTTACTACTGCAACTTAAGTACATCTCTCATGCCACAAGAAAAATGGGAAAAGTGAAAACTTCAAAGTACGTTTGAATGAAGTTAAAGGCGTGAAAAACTGTGGTTTTGCAAATAAAGTGCAAAGTGCTGAAAAAGTGAAAATGCATCAAATATAAACCCACAAATATAAGGCGAGATGATAAGACAGTCTCCTACATATATTTATCTGCATATATGTAGTACTAGTAAGCAAAGAAGCGTGTGCATTTGTATGTCTGTTCATACACTCGAGAATTGCGTGTTGAGCGCACACAAAACGAAACTTGCTGCTAGCATTTCAAATTTTAGTTGTGCACGGAGTATACTTAAGGGTACGGGTACATCTATAGAATACAAAAAGAACGAAGTCAGCTGCAAATGCAATTGAAATCGTGGCAGCGCAACCGCTTTATAACCAACTGAATTGTTTTTTCCACTTAGCTTGACTGTGATAATGTACATAGATTTGTGTGTATGTGTGAGTACTTTTGTGTGCGTGTACGATTTCATGCTTCGAAATAAGCAGCAATTTTTTAATACTTTCCTCACACAATGCTGTGCGACTGCTTTTCAATTCAAAACTGAAATTCATTATGACTATGCATGTACATATATGCGTTTTCTTTCCGATCGTTTTGGATTTATAAATGTAAATTTACACACTAAAGTGTGCTCACACCTGCATGCTTGTTGATATCAACTATCCAAGAAGATTTTTTTTTTCTGAAAAGTGAAATAATACCGCAAGGCTAATATTTCTTGATGTATGTAAGTAAAAACTGAAATTGATGCGGTGGTTGCCCATAATGAGAAATCTTTCCACCACTTCTTATGGCTTTACCTCAATGTCATTATTTTTATTGAGGAGGTCCAACTCGTTAAATCTTTCCTGCAGCATTTCGTTCTGAGCTAATTTTTGATTACAGGCAGAGAAGAGAAAGACCTTTCAGCGCCAGCTGTCGTGGCTGGAAATTAGCTAGTTGTACGAAGTAGGTATTAATACTGGGATATACCTATATTTTTATTGCAATGAGCGACGGGCTTAATGGCGTACGCCAATTCAGTACCAGATTTAATTTTCAGCTTCCATTGCTGCTGCCAATTCGCTAATTCAGCCCTATCCTCAATTTTTGTTGTTGTTCATTCCCTCCCAAAACCTCATCAAAATGCTTTATAAGGCAGTTAGTAAGTTCGATGGTATCTTTTGCTTCTAAGTGGATGTTGAGCTTAAGCAATAGCAGACGGAGATTCAAACTTTTCAGGATGTCCTTTGAATAACGCGCCTTTAAATCAAATGTGATCATTTCGATGAATGGTCTGTATGCGGAAACTTTATAATACTCTTTACAGCTTGAAGGTATATTATTGTTTCGATGATTTTGGTGACTGGATCTAACTTTTCAGTTGATTGTGTGACATTTTATAATATGACATGGACGTTATTTTCTACATTGATTCTTGTTGAAATGTCTGATAGTTTCTTTCTGCAGCTTTGATGCATTTTAGTTCTTCTACGACTACTGGAAAGGCCACTATAAATTAAAGAATCGAATCGTGTTCTAGTACCCGTAGTCCCTCGCAAGCTGCACATTTACAGTTGAAGTATAAAATCCGTTCATGATTCTAGCTTTGCCCACATCTCATACGGAAGGTAAGCACTGTTGTGAGAAAGGGCTTTCTGCATCGCTGAATGAGAAAGAGTCTATTTTTTCGATCTTTATGCAGGAAATTCATATAAGGTGATAGTAGGAGTACGGAGCCAAAAAAAAAATACATGTCATTTTGGCGTTCTAAGCCGTGAGGCAATAAAGAAAACTCAACCACCATGTCGACGAGAATCCACCCAAACACCTAGGTTACTTTTAACTTTCCCTGTCGCGTGCGAGTACAATATTGCACGAAATCTTTCCAGATTGGGATATACATATTTGGCTACGAGGCAATTACTTTTTGCCCTTTAAAACATCGACAACGTCGTAAATCTTGACGAAAATTAAAAAGAAGTGAAGTTCGTGCGTTCATCAAATAGGCTATAAAGAAAATCTCTAGTTTTGAAATGACACAAAAAAGCCGAAACATGTTAACCTAATATTGGGTCGCATATTATGAATCTGCATAGCGTTTTCCCGATATGGCCATGTAGCTACTAACGATGGAAATCGATAGAAAAATAAACAGCTTTTCAATGGTCAAATAAAAATTTGCAATAATTTTTTGTATGAAATGGAAGCAGGAAATATCGTACATATGTGGGTGCACTAATAAAAGCGTGGGGCGCATGTAATACACTTGAATTGATATGAAAAGTA